TTGTAGTCTTTGTTTTAGGTCCATCAGTATTTCAAAGTTTGCCAAATCCTGGTTCAACGACCCGCCGAAGAAAGAACACTCACGGGATAATCCTATCGTTCCAGTCCCGCTTGAACTTGAACTAGTTGCTATTTTGACAAAATTTAAAAGATATTTCAAAAAATTTGCATACTTTTACGTATTTGTATACATGAATAAAATGCACCGTATAGCGCAGTCGATTCTGCTTTATGAAAACCCTCCGTTTGAACTTCTTTCTTTTTCTCCATCAGAATACTGAACCCAGAGGTCGATTTTTACCGTCATTTTTAAAAGTCGCTGAAAATGTAGGAAATTATGCCTGTGGGGTCATGAGCGAACTGGCATTTTATTTCTCTAATGCCAATAAGCTAGAATACGATGAGGATGTTTCAGAAGATCAGTCATCAGTATCGAAAAGTGTTCAGAAATGCCCCCGACCTGTTTCAATGTACCTGCCGTCTCATTGTGATTCCGATTTGTCGCCTCCGCGTTGCCACGTTGATAAGCACTTTGGGTTCTGCGTATATCACAACAGAATAGACAAACAAAATAGTTTTCGGTCAAGTCAAATTCAACTTCGAGATGGAGGAAGTTGCGTTTGCCTGTGCACATCCGAACATCTTCCCCCTGAAGTCGAGGTCGGAAATGTCGAATATAAGGTGCGTTTCAATCTTTTTCACCTTGAAATGACTGTAGATCTGTCTTAAATTCTGATGTGTATTTTCGTCCTCTCATAATATTTCTTTCCTGAAGTTAATGAGTTTTTTTTTCTGGATTTCCCCGTGGGGAACTGGTGCACCACTTCTGCTGTTATCTCTCCTGCACCACTCGATCCAGTTGTATAAGCCTCAATGTCATGGAGTCTGAACTGGCTTTTCTTTTTCATGCAGTATAGTAAATCCCTGGAATGCGCTTCCAAAGTACGTGCGATCGTCACTAACGTCAAAAGAGTACACAGCGACTTGACGCCCTTGTCCATTAGTTCCACAATAGCTTCTTCCCACCAGCTTATTCGCCTTTATGCATTATTAAATCTTTTCGTTTATTACTATTTTGTTGCTTGCTTTTACTGCCCTATATGACCGGTGCGGTGTGGAGTGCCAATAAAATTCAAGTGGGTATTGGTTGTTTGACCTTGATTCTCGCGAAATGTTCAGCCCTACGCGTAGGACCAAATAACCCACTGATGTTATCCGCTTGGTAGCAACGAAGTGCTGCGGATACTCCAAGCTGACACAGGAGTCTTGCTTTCACCAGGCTAAGTCCAGTGAACATTGGGCGGAAGCTGCTCTCTAAGGATTCGGCATGTGGCTGATCCGGAGGTCATTCGTGATCATGACGACTGACAATTTTCGGCTTTTGTAAGGCCGCACTTGGAATCCTGTGTGCAGACGTATCCCCCTGCCTCGTTCGTGACAGGACGCCAATTGAACGGGTCTTGCGGTCTGGAACGAATATGGTCCATGGGGCAGATGTTGACACCCTGAGAGGCCACTTAAGTTGGATATGATTTCCATGCATTACAGGCAACTTCGTGGCGACTTGCTTCTCACATCGCATGCTGATGTATCAGGTTGCTCCTGATTTAACTGGACAGACCTCCTAACTCGAGTGCCAACCCTTCGTGGTCACCCGTTGAAGTTGCACAAACCCCGATCTGACCGGGTTGGGGTTAGCTTTTCAATTATCACGTATTGTCATAGGTTATTGGAACGCACTGCTCGCATAAGTCTTAATGGCACTGACGGTGAACGTTTGCACATCAACTTGACGCCCTCGGTCTGCGGTTCAATATATTCCGTCTTATACCTTAAGCTTTTACTCGTCTATTACGGTTTGCATTTTCTTAATTCATTTTCACTTACATCTCAATAATACTTATATCGTTTGGTAACATTTTCTTCCCCTTATTTCCTTTTTTCTTTTCTTCACATGAGCGGTACAGCAGGGACTGCTCTTGCAGGGCACGTGGGCGTTGTTTGCTTGACCATGTGAATCGTGATTTGATCTGGCTCTCCTTTGGCAGATCAATCCACCGCATTTCCTGTCTCTGAACGACGATTTCAAAGGAGGAGCGCTCACGGGACCTTCTTACTGTACCGGTCCCAATTGAACTTGAACTCGACCGTGGTGCGATTCGCGCTCCTTATATGACTCTCCTAGATTGCACTTCTCACCTGCGAACAATATCCCAAATAAACGGCGCACTCTGGAAGAAACACCCGCGGGTATTTGACCTATTGATTCAGTCCCACTTGAACTTGAACATCAAGTTCAAGTAGAACTGGAACGGTAGAATAATCCCATGAGTGATCCTTCTTACGCTGACCGGTGAGCCAGGAAATGTTGAGGCGCTCTGATGCTTTGAAGGACTTAAAAGGAAATATCCCGACCCAACCCTAGGAGTAACTGCCAATACATCTTGCCAACTGTTCGGTCCTGCGCATAGTATCAAGCACTCCCACAACTCATTACATACTTGGCGAAAATATAGTGTCTCAAATGACTCAACCAATCGACTTGGGTATCTCGCTATCCTCTGCTTTCAAACACAGCGAGAACTGGACGACCGTTACTCGCAAGGGTTTCCGTATCCGTAGGGCGTTCTGCGTCATAACAAATGAAATCTTTGTTATATTGTTCTCAGCCTTTGTCAGGTCATACTTGGAGTACTGCGTGCAGCCCTGCCTTCCATGCTTGGTCCGCGGCAAAATTGCATTCAAACGTGTTCTGAGGATTGGCATGGAAATGGAACAAGAATTGGGGCAACTCTCGTATCCTGATAGACTGCTCAGATTGCTAATGTTCTCGCTGCCTTATAGGTGTCTTCTGGACGACCTGATGCTTACTACCGTATATTGGCGGGCAAGATTTGGTCTGAACTAAATCAACTGTTCCATCCGGCTCAGATGCTGTCTCTTCGTTATAACCCTTTGAAGCTGCATAAACCCCGATCCGATCGTGTTAAAGCCGAGTTTCGTTTATCACGCACGGTCATTGATTCATGAAACGCACTGCCCAGCGGTCGTATTAACACCAACGGTGAAGGAGTTTGAACATCGACTTGACCCTCTTGGGTTGCATCTTCAGACTTTGCCGCTTGTTTCTTAACTTCCACTTCCATTCTCTTGCTTTCTCACCCCTTATTACTATTATTAACTTTTCTACACATTCTCAATTGTACTACAATTATAATTTTTCTGTTTTTGTCGTCTCTGTTCTCTTAACCTTTAAACTTATTCACGTGGCCGGTTCAGCGGGGGTGGCTAGTGCAGGTCGCATGAGCATTGATTAGTTCACCGTGATGTGTTTCGAGCGTATCGATTTAGCTCTTTTCGCTTTCAAATTGATCCGACGAACTTTCTTCCGTTACAACAACGTAGTGAAGAAGGAACACCCATACCGTTCCTGTCCAACTTGAACTTAAACTACTGCCCACGTTTCCTGCAGACATTGCCATGGGCGTTTGTATTGACTTGGTGATTCCCCCGTTTGACTGTGTAAATTATTAAGTATATTAAAATTATACTTTTCTTATGTATTAGGGCATTGGGTGGTTTGCTTGTTTGAATTTTGCTCTCGTTTGTTTGAGTCACACTGCATGCCAGCATCCACTTTGCGACCAATCGGACGCGACCTGCTGACAGGCATTCGTCCTGACACTCGACACAAGTTTATACTTTCCATAGCTCTCTTCTCTGGTGCCCTGATTTTAGTTTTAGCCATCTTAGCGACAGTTCAACAATTATTTTCTAGCTCATTTATGTGTGTCCTACCCTTAGTTCTCGATTGGTCGTTTAACTTCGAATCTGATATCTAGCGAACGATCGACGCGCTATAAGCTGGTCAGGCATCAACAGCACACCAGTACGCAATACTATGGTTTCGCTGGCGCACAGCCTTCAGCAGTTGCACATGGATTAAGGATAGTGCAACAGTCTCCCGCTTCCTATACAGACTCGAACGTGCACTTTCAGATTACAGGGCAGACTTGTGATTTTGAAGGCTACGTGCCGGCAGGGAAAGGCTTTATTTTGCCAGTCAATAGTGTCTTATTGACACTCAGACCCCTTAACCGTAGATTCTCTTATAAAAATGTCTCTAAACGTGTTCCGGCATTTGATGACTGCGTGACAACCGAATTTCCTCCCTAGTCCGATCAGACCGCGGTGTGCTTAGTTTCATGGAATACCCCCGAAGACCAGAATATCTATCGGAACTGGATAGTTAAGACAAATCCAGGCCAACCTTCCTAGTTAGAATACGGTACGTTAGGCTTAGGTATCCTATAAGCCTTCGGTAGTGCATTTAATGCAGTTCCAAAATAAGTAGGCGCCTTGTCTACTGGATTGTCCCATGGGAACCCGATGAACATCCGACAGGAGTCCGATCTGAGTCCCGACTAGACATTTTTTAGACGCAAATCGGACATTCACATAGATTTCGTGGGAAAGCGATTGTGCAGTGCTGGCACTCTAGTACACACACAAACGACCATGCATGTCATGTTGCATATGTGCAAACACGCGTCACTCATTGCCTGCGTAATGATAAAGAAGCAGCGAAATAGAAAATGGACGTACGGTTATATTGATATGGACGGTGCATTACAAATCTCAGGTTAAATATAAATATACACAATTAGTTGTTAAGGTAAATAGTAATCAGTAGCTTCTATAATATTTAAGCTTTTTGATGCTTTAGCTCATTTATTTGAATCCAACTGGACTCTTGAAAAATTCTGCAGTACTCCGGCACGCACTACCGACGCCTCGCTGCCCCGCAACTACCGCGTCGCACATAGGCTAAGAATACTGCGAGGCTCGTCCGGTCCCTATGCATACTGGAATCCGCGCCCTCGGATTACAAAGCAGCCTTGTGATCCTTTAGGCTACAGACCAGTCCCTTGACTTCTGTGTGTCCGGTAGTGTCGATAGAGCGCTGGGGTCACGCTTGTTACCGTAACCCTTCAACCAACTTAATACCCACTCCTAAAACCCTCTCCAGCTTCATTTTTCCCCGGACTAGGCAGCGCGAACAAGCCTGGACGCAGTATTCAATATGGAGCCGCATGAAAGCTGCGAACACTTTCCTTACGATGCCGCACATCAAGTTTACGAAGGAGCTGCGTATTAACCACAACATACGGAGCCCTCTACTTTCGGCCTTCTTCCATTCCTCGACTGAGTGTAAAGTCGACGAGTGCACGACGCTTAGATCAAAGTATCTGGATATACGGGGCATTTAGACCCCACCGACCAAGTATGTCGTGAAGGAAGGACCTCCTCAAATTCGGTGAATGGAGCATTTTACCTGATTTATTGGTATTAGGCATAAGATAGACCAGACCCAAAGTATTTCCAAGGCATGCTGAATAGCCTCAGCGCCCGCAAGTCCACCAACATTATTCCACAGCTTCACATCACGGGCGAAGAATAGCGATGCTCCGTCAAGCTCCGCGGCTAGATTATTCACATAGATATATAGAACAGCATCGGTCCAAGGACCGAGCCCTACGGGATGTCGCTAATGTCAGACCGCCTAAATGAGAGGCTGCGGCTCACGCGAATGCCGTCACCTAACAAAGAGCGCGACCGGAATTTAGATTCCCCAAGTCTCAAATGGGGTAACTTGTCAAGTACTGTCGAAATGCGCGTCC